AATTTATTCCATGACCATATGCCCCTTGAATATGTATGTATGTATGTATGTATGTATGTATGTATGTATGTATGTAATCTTCTAGTTTCTTTTCATGTCCCTTTTATTCTCAAGATTTGCCTTTTTTCTCCCCAGGGGGATTGAGAAAAAAGAACTGTTGTCGAAAGTGTGGAAAATCCTTTGTTCAGAAGTCGGATCTTGCTATACATCGACTGCTTCACAAGGGAGAGAAACCTTTTAAATGCCTGGAATGTGCAAAGTACTTTGTCCATCACTCAGAGCTTGTGAAACACCAGCGCGTCCATACAGGAGAGAGACCTTTTAAATGCTTTGAGTGTGGAAAGTGTTTTTCACGGCAGTCTGTCCTTGTGAACCATCACCGAATCCACACCGGAGAAAAACCTTATCAGTGCCTGGAGTGCGTGAAATGTTTTACTCAGAGATCACAACTCATCCGACACCGAAGAGTCCACACAGGGGAGAAACCTTATAAATGTCTGGAGTGTGGGAAATGTTTTGCCCGTCACTCGGTTCTTATCAACCACCAGAGAGTCCACACTGGAGAAAAACCGTACAAATGCTTACAGTGTGCCAAATGCTTTGCACGTCAATCAGTCCTTGTGAGTCATCAAAGGGTCCACACTGGAGAGAAACCCTACAAATGTCAGGAGTGTGGCAAACGGTTTGCTCATCAGTCAAACCTGGTCAATCATCAGAGAATTCACACCGGGGAGAAACCCTACAAATGCGTGAAATGTGGAAAAAGTTTTGCCCAACAATCAGATCTTGTGAAACACAGGAGAATCCACACAGGGGAGAGACCTTACAAATGCCCAGAATGTGGGAAGTCTTTTGCTATCCATTCAGATGTGGTGAATCACCAGAGAGTCCATACAGGGGAGAAGCCCCATAAATGCCTGGAGTGCGGGAAGTGTTTTGCTCAGCGTTCAGCTCTCGTGAGTCATCAAAGAGTCCACACGGGAGAAAAGCCGTACAAGTGCCTGGAGTGTAAGAAATGTTTTGCTCAGCTATCCAATCTTGTGAAACACCAGCGAATCCACACAGGAGAGAAACCCTATAAATGCTTAGAGTGTGGGAAATGTTTTCGACGGCGTTCCCACCTTCACGTACATCACCGAGTTCATTCTAGGAGTCAGATCCTATGACTAACTTAAGTGGGACGATGGCTTTGAAGAGCAGTGAAATGTTAATTCAGTATGGAATGGCTGACTCAGATGGAATACGTTCTGAATAATTCACATTTAGTTAAAAAAAAAAAAAAAGGTTCTTGAAAATCATGCTTAATTGATGCCGTGGAGGAAGACAGATATACGGATAACAGAAGAAATATTGAAGACAGATGTAGAACTGAATGAGGGGAAGGACTGTCTTCTGAGTTTTAATGACAGCTGTATGTGGAGCAGTTGATTCAGTTTTCCATGTTGTTCCTCCCACAAAGTTTTGGGTTAATTGGTTGGTCCATTGTTTATCCTTCTTCATATGGAAATAACAACTCCCAAATGTTTTAAAATAGCAGCACATCTAGCAACAGTGAAGTGTGTAAATGTTCTTGTGTGGGTGCTACTGAACTGGTGCTTTCTACAGCTTTTTTTTCCTGGTTCAAACTGGAACCAACATTGTGGGGGGGGGAGTCTTTCTAAGAAGGAAACAGTGGTTGGTATTGAAGGATAGTGGGAGCCCTTCCAAATCACTGCCTCGTTGCTCTAAAGCAGGGTTTCTCAACCTTGGGAACTTTAAGAGGCGTGGACTTCAACTCCCAGAATCCCCCAGCCAACCATGCTGGCTGGGGAATTCTGGGAGTTGAAGTCCACGCATCTTATAGTTCCCAAGGTTGAGAAACACTACTCTAAAGATATTGATGATAGCTAGTCAAGAAATGACAGGGATAAAATTAATGCTGTATTCCATCCTGTAACCTTCTGATGCAATAAGACTACAACTCCCAGGATGCCCCTGTTAGCATGCTCCAACATTCTAGAGATAATGTTTCCAGCATACCTGAAAAGTGCTTGCTTGGGGATTCTTTAGAGCAGTGTTTTTCAAACTTGGCAACTTTAAGAGGTGTGGACTTCAACTCCCAGAACTCCCCAGTCAGTGTTTCTCAACCTTGGGAACTTTAAAATGCATGGACTTCAACTCCCAGAATTTCTAAGCCAGCGTGGGAATGGGGAATTCTGGAAGTTGAAGTCCACACATCTTAAAGTTGCCAAGTTTGAAAAACACTGTGTTAGAGCCTGCTTGAATACCCAGCTCAAGAAAGAAGCAGCAGAGCAGGTCGCTGTGTTGAATTCAGTGCAGGACGGTGGGACAGGTCTGCATTTTGAGCCCCCTTTTAGCAGAATGAGCAGGAAGACTCAAATAGTGCAGGGTGGTCTTGTAGCCTTTGAACTAAGCGGACTAAGTACCCAGTTCCTTTAGGAATAAATTCCCTTAGGAACAATCTGTTGCAGCCTTCATTGGGGCTGGGGCTGAAGCAAGAGTGAGACCTGCCAGAGCTACAGGGGAGGGGGGTTTCAACCATGTGAGGCCCCTTTTTATCTGTACAGTGGCTGATGCCTCTGTCTATCTATCTGTCCGCCTATCACCAAGATAACTTGTCGAAAGCAGAACAGAACAGGACCAAATTTAGTGTGTGGGAAAAGCTAGCTGTCAGCCTTACCAGGTAGACCAGACAGGAAACAGTACCAGATGAGCGAATTCTACTTTATTGTAAGGCTACACTAACAGAATCTTGCAAGTCTGAAAGTACAAATCTCCCCGTCTCCTTTACAGCCTGAGAAGTTAGGGAGGTTCCTTTCTGAGTTTCTTTCTCTGCCTGTTATGCAGCTGTGGGGTATGCCCTCCCTTATCTGATCATTCCCTAGGCAGTGTCTCTTCCCCTCATCTCCCAAGGTCATTCCCCCATACCATTACCTAAAAAAAGAAAGACTGGGTTTAAAAATGGGCTGGATCTGGCCCAGGGTGGTGGAGAAATAAAATCCAGGGGGAAAAAAAACCACAGTACATCCCCACGGGACCTTCCTTCTTGATGTCCACTACTGTTTTCTTGTCTTTCTTCAAAACATGAGAAACTGCCATCCGCTGCATTAACCATCTTCAATTCTTTTGCATTTGTGTTAGCTCAAATATCAGTGCAAAGATTTAAGTTCGCTGGCTTTCTTCTCATTTGGGTGGGAATTAACCAACCCATGTGCAGAGCACAAGGCTGGGGAAAACTAGTCTACCCCAACTGGAGACATTATACCCATCTTTAAACAAGACCCTCTCCCAGTGCCAGGGTTGAATCTGGAATTTCGACACGGAAAAAGTTTCTTCTCTGCCAGAGGCTCCCACTGAGTTCATTGTGAAAGAGCTCCATAGCTGCGCAACTCTTTGGTCAAAACCAGTGAAATTTAAGTCTTGGCACGGACCGAATAATCTTAAAAGCATTGTTGACGTTTTCATGAAGGGAAGGTGTCCATTGGTTGTTTTTCCAGTAGATTCTTTGGAAGTTTTATATTGACAAATGGTATATGATATGTGTATTATTCTGTGAATAAGTGTTGGATAAAGTGGCAAAGCTCATACAGTAATGTTTCTGTACAATGGGGACCAAAAACCTTGCAGTCAAATGAAGAAAAAGTGGCTTGTTGGAGAGATAAGATAACGCCTTGGGGGTTGATGACAATTCGTTGTATAATTTAGCACAGTGTTTCTCAAACTCGGTAACTTTAAGACATGTGGACTTCAACTCCCAGAATTCCCCAGC